CCAACTGCGATCTCAGAATGCACTCGGTGAAGTTTGGCTGCGTGCCCGTACGAGCGATGACAACCGTTCCTTGACATAAACTGAGTGGAAAGTTGGTGGACAGTCACTAGAGCGCTGCCGATGGTGATAGAGACGCATTAGGCCACTGGCTCGGGGCCGCATCATTGGCTCTAACAATACGAATCCCGCTTTTGAGAGTGGGGGAAATATGCGTCTTGGCTGACTTGTGCCATGAAGTCTTGTGCTTGTATAGGGTCATTCAGTGTTCCTAGCAATTTATTGGCTGTAACGAAAATAATCTTATCCATAGTGTGAGAGCTTTCCAGTGCATTTTCTTAGTGCGATTGGGTCGTGCGTAAGTTTTGTTGTTAATCTATCCTTGGCGTTCAGCAGAAAGCAATGAAGAACTCCACCTTCCGGCGGATGGACGGTTCGTAAATTGTAGTTGCGTCGAATTATAAATGCGTTGTCAAGGTTGTGCTAAAGTCTGAGGTAGCAGAAAGTAGTGCAGCGGCATAGAGTTCAGGAGACAGGAAATTACTCGAAGGCGATTGTGGATAAATGAAGGGAACCTACAAACCCACCATGAACCACCTACCCTACCCACTTCACCAAAATGGCTCCTCCGGAATTGGCTGAGATAAGCTTAGCGAAAGCACATGATTAGACTAACACAGTAACCGTGCAATTGTCCTCCAGTCAAAAATAGTGGTGGACAAGAGGAAACACCAGCAGTCATACACCTTCGGTTACTATTTCTGGACTCTCAGTCAACCTCCTGTTATACTGCCGTCATGAGAGGCCATCGGAGGACCATCCAGCGCGTCGTGATGTAATTCAGTTCCCATCGGAACTGTTCTATTGTCGAGAGCGACAATAGAACAAGGTTGGTAATGAATCCTCTTCTTTCTGCCTATAAGCTGAATTTTCAAAGGGTAATTTCCCATCCCTCAGTTTCCGTGTCAGTTATTGTTCATATTTCTTCTGCTACCTTTATCACAAAGATTCTCACTCTTGAACAACTGTACGGCTTATAAGCAGGAATAAAACTTTGCTATCTACCCGCTTCCAATAAAAGCAAACCGTAATATAAGGCAACTAGTAGCTCGCGATTTTTAGCTAGTTACTAGAGCTCAGATTCTTTTACTTTGATTCCGAGAAAACACTGTATAATATATATGAAAACTAGAAAGCTCTTCATTATGTCTGCGAGATCCTTAACTCTACACCATAAGCCACTCTATAAAATGTTTACTATTGTCAAAATCCTCAAAATAACTCTACCCTGAGAGGAATCTTAAATATTCTTCCAAAATGCCAACTATGTTAGGTGTAACAAGGCTTCAGAAGCTCTACCCTGGTCACTAAGCCTTACAAATATTTATTACAGAACAGTAAAACCCTGCTCAATATTACCCTGATAGCCGGGACTTAAAGTCTCTTCCATGATACTTAGGACTTATACTACAATAGTATTCAGGACAGAGACTTCTTCGATGTTCAAGGCTTACACATTGATCCCTGATACCCAGAGCCTTTGTACTATCCTAATGCGCAAACTCGAAATCTAATTCAGCACGTTTCCCTACATCTTTAAACGCAATGCTCTGGGCGTGCCATTGTTTATCAGGCCTTCTACGTCAAATACATTTTATTATACATATTTCTCATGTGCAGTGAGACTAACAAATGCTATCACAGCCCAAAGGATAAATAGCTACTCCCAACATTTATTGTATCTCTAATAATGCTAACTACATTAGTCTTAATAGTTATGGCGTGTTTTGCATAGTAATTTGGTAGTTTCGAGAAACGTGTCATATTTTATTGAGCGTAGTGACCCAGGCTGTCACTACGTTGTTAACGGGATTAAAATATAAATACTACAATATATATAATATATATATATATATATATATATATATATATATATATATATATATATATATATATATATATATATATATATATATATATATATATATGTCGTGCCGAATAGGAGAACTTGCGATCATTGGCTTAAATAGCAACGTTCATTTGCCATATAGGACAAATCGAAAATTTGTGTATGCAATAATTTCGCCAAAATCATTCTGAACCTAACGAAAGAAATATATTTCACTGTGTTTGTTTAGTATTAAATTATTGTAAACTTATATAAAATATATTTAGTTGGGTTAGGCTAAAATAAATTGTTCTTGTTATAATAAGGTTAGGTAAGTTTTCTAAGATTCTTTTGGTGCAAAATTAAAATGTTTTACATTAGCATTAATGAAAAAATATATATTTTTAAACGTATAAGAGAAAATTTCAGAAAGGACTTAATTTTAAATAAGTTCTTGCTAATTGACCAGTTTTACAATTTTCTGTACCATATTATGTAATAAAATATTCCTATTAGTAAAAAAAAAAAAATATAAAAAGATGGGGTGGTAGGGGAAGTGGAATATTCAAACGGCTTCAGGAAGAAATTCCAATATTTTTCCTTGAAGCCTTTTTATCCACTTCTCCGGCACGGCATATATATATATTATATATATATATATATATATATATATTATATATATATATATATAATATATATATATATATATATATATATATATATATATGTATATGTCGTGCCGAATAAGCAGAACTTGCGAACTTGGCTTAAATGGCAACGCTCATCTTGCCATATAGGACAAGCGAAAATTTGTGTATGCAATAATTTCGCCAAAATCATTCTGAAACTAACGAAAAAAATATATTTCACTGTGTTTGTTTAGTATTAAATTACTGTACAGAAATCCGAAATATAATTAGTTGGGTTAGGCTTAAATAAATTGTTCTTGTTATAATAAGGTTAGGTCAGTTTTCTAAGATTCTTTTGGTGCAAAACTAAAATTTATTACATTAACATTAATGAAAAAATATATCTTTAAACGTATAAGAGGAAATTTTAGAAAGGACTTAATTTTAAATGAGTTCTTGCTAATTGACCAGTTTTACATATTCGGCACGACAATATATATATATATATATATTTTATATATTATATATATATATATATATATATATATATATATATATATAATATATATATATATATATATATAATATATATATAATATATATATATATATATATATATATATAATATTTATTTCGATATAGCTCTGGCCAGTAAAGCCGAGAAGCTATACTATTACAACACTCAGGAGAACAATTATGATCTCGTACGTCTGTATTAGTTTAAATTTCAAAACAGTGAGTGTTGTCACAGTGTTGGAGATCAGATACAGACGAGTGGTAGCTCGTAGGGACAGGATCAGATGCTACTTAGTGGTACTAATTGTATTCCTTTATGTAGAACCTCTACAATAGCACCAAGATAATTCCTTGCATGTACCAGAAGAGAGCTTTCTACTCCAGGAGAAAGCATTTTGCATGTCTCGGTAAATCTAATCGGATATGTCTACCATCAGTTAACTTTTCAAGAGATTAAGGAACTTCAACACTAGGGGTCACCATCGAAAATATAGAATAGGTATAGTGAAATAATATTACAGATTTAGAGGTATTAGGTCTTAGTGTTTTGAAATTGGTAACTACGACCAAGTCGTTAACGCAGACTTTGACACCACTGAAGTCATACTAGCACTAGGGGCAAAACAGGAATGAAGTGAAACGTAGTACAGCAGTATGACAAAATATCGCATGGGTAGGTGAGGCGTGGAAGAACTGTAAGTGGCGAACTTTGAGGCAAACGCAACGGATGTAAGTAAGCAGATAAGCGGTGGTAACGCAGTGAATAACACAGGTCGCATCTTGCCACAAAATGCATTAACAGAGGAAAAATGTAAAGATGCAGTAGAAGACAGCCATGAAGAACTGTAGACTGAAAGCAAGAGGGTCCCAGCTCACTACCACCCTGCAGCATCCAGGGACACTACAAGTAAGGCACCGTCCCGTTCCAATTGATCTGTGCCTCCTGCCACCTGGAAGACAATGCATACAGAGTTTCATTATACATCGTCTTGAGTTTTTTCTTTTAAAAATATATTTTCATTATTTTTCTTGGTAGCTAAAGAAACCAAACTTTTTAATAAATGTATCCAACGTTATGTGCGACGTCAAGACATAATATTGTTTTAATTGACGAGTGAGAGAGAATGAACGTTCTTGACTTGGGGAAAATTTGTTATGGAACCAGCTTGGTTTACACAACAATTAAAACATATCTACTTACTTAATATGGAATTGAATAGCTAGACTGAAATTACCAATAACAGACAAGGTATGTACCGAGACACCTACTTGGTGTGGATGAGCCTCTCGAGGGGCGGGGTGAGATGGTCTTCCCTGCTGGACCGGACCGGGCCGTCGATGGACAGAGATGGTAGGAGATATGGCTGGAGTTTTGGGAGTATATTAGAGGTGAACATTCATGAAGGAAAACTTTATTTTTACCCACCAACTCTAGCAACACATTTGTCTAGTTTCAGTTTATGACTTTATGAAATCATTAAGTTTCATTTCGAATATTTTTTATCGGATGTTTAGACTGATACAGGTTATTTCAGCCAGGAATAAATTATGATTTTGATTAGTTAGTTATTAAAGATTAGCCGGTATTATCCGAGCCCGGGCCTTTCCAAGTGGTTGGCCCGCCTGACTCCCTCTTAGGGAGTGTCCAAAGGAAAATTATCACCATGGAGGAGGCACAAGTACCTCCATCATCATTTAGAAGCTAAGATGTCCACCAGGCCTACAACAAGCAGGCCTCCTAGATCAAAAATGGATCCGCCAAGGGGGAAATCTGAATTACCAGTCTTATCAAAGGCTCGACATCAGGCACCTACCCTAAACCTAGAAGGGTGAGAGCATTGTTCGAATGTATGATATTGGAAATGATTTTTTTTTTAATGAACTTTCAAAGGCACTGCAATAAATTGATTTGGTTGAATGCACATTTTTTTGTATGCTTACAAACTCGTAATCTAAAACTAATCCCAAAAGTGAAAATTATTCACAAAAACTAACACTTGGCAAAACAATAAAATTAGAAGGTTAAGATAGCTACCATTAGTTAAAAACAAACATACAAACGAAAAAAAAAATGGTGATATTATAAAAGAATCCCCTAAAATTTCCACCGAGGTCCCTACAGGTGCTCCAGTAATTATAAAAAACGATTAAAACTAAAAAGCCGAAGCCATTGTTGAAACTGACATGACGTGCTGCTTCTTTCTCTAAGATCTTTACATGCCTGTTTTCAGCGTGGTAGTCCCTAAGAAGGTCCCTGTTGGGGTTGAAGAGAATGCCATAGGCGTCGTTGCAGCACGTGACCCAGATGGGAAATGTTGGCGTCTTGAGTCTCGACCCAACCACCGCCTGCCTGTCCCCTTCTTGCTGATTATACACCAACAAACCCAGTTCTCCCCTGGCCAGAATCCCTGTCTTGGGCCTGGCCTAAAATAAAATGCAATTTAATATTTAGAAAATAAATCACTTACAACTAATCCACAAACTGAAAGCGAAAACGACGTTTCAGTCTTTATTGGACCATTATAGATACGATAATGGTCTAGAGTTGTCCAGTTCTCTTTAAATTTGTGGGTTAGTTGTAAATTAATCAAGCTACAGTAATGTTACATTTACTCTTTAATGGTGAATGTGTTATTATTTTCAATCATCGAGAGTTATGCAGAAAAGATTTTTTATAGCTATGATACAAAGTGGTTTCTTAGGATGGACATGCTGACCATTGTGTCTTCTGTGCCTTCGTAAATGATGCCATTGTGGAGGTGGTGTGTAAGTCGACCCATGATGAGCAAAGTAACCAGGCTCGGATGCATCGCCCCGTTGCCCTGGATCAAGCTCTGTTCATCTCCATTCATGTCCTCATTTAACCTAGAATGTCAGATTAGTTCCATAGAGCTTGACTTTCGATTACAAGTTGGCCATGAAGACTGCAAATTACCTCACTGATAACACCCAGAGTACTTCTATACCTGAAATAACATACACATATATGCACACTCCCTCAGTGTTTGTTAGTTTAAGGTATTTAGATGGGAGGTGGTAATTATACCTCTTCTTTCACTTGTACACTACGGAGAAAACAATACCTTAATCATTATAATAAGGAGTGAAATAAATTTTTAGACCATATACATATGTAAGCTTCTCGAGTATATACTCTATCACCTTTCAATGTGTATTATATATATATATATATATATATATATATATATATATATATATATATATATATATAATACACATTGAAAGGTGATAGAGTATATACTCGAGAAGCTTACATATGTATATGGTCTAAAAATTTATAACACTGTCTCTACGTCCACAGCAGGACTCGAACCTGCTAACTCTGTATCACAGTACACAGTACTTTACCACTGAGCTAGACCCAAGATATGTATGGACTCTTAGCCGAAGCTAAGCGCCCATAGTCCTGCTGTGGACGTAGAGACAATGATAAGATTTCATATACGGTTGGATTTGGCCATAATGTAATCAAAGTTGTTGTATTCCACAGATTACGGATCTCAATTCTATAGAACTTCTTTAGGAGCACGACTACAACGAAGAAAGTCGACATTTCATGTGAAGAGGTTGTCATCTATTAACCTTTGACTGTGATCTTACCTGTGGAAGGTGCGAGAGAGAATGAGGCTGTAGAGGAAGAGTATCAACCCATTGCCGTTCTCGTTCACCAACTGTGGAGAAATCACTTTGATTAAACCCTACTAATTGAGTACAAACTAGAGCGCGCGAGTATACAAAAACCACCATACAGGTACCAAATATACTCCAGTAAAAACTTCCACTATGTTATTTTTTCCCTCAATGCTTGCAGTGAGGAAGATGTTTTAACATGAAGAATGAAAGTCACAATTCCGTAACTGGAAAAAATCACAACCCACAAATTGGTCACGAGATAAAATTACGTTTCGGTCTGTCCTGGATCATTGTCTAGTCGTCGCCGGTATAATCGCCCGGCCCGGGCCTTTTCCAAGAGGTGGCCCGGCCTTGGCTCCCTGTGGAGGGAGTGTCTCAGACCAAAGTCTGCCATGGGAGGCGGTACAAGTACCTCCTCATCTTCTGGGACCAGCTGTCCCCAGGCCTAGCTCCATTCCCAGCCCCCATGGGGCTAGGAGGGAGAAGCTAGGCACCTTGGGCTGCCACAAATCCCGCCCACACTGGGCTCGAAGGGTGTGGCAGCTGCAGAGCAGCAGACGATGTGAGGAGGTGCAAAGGCAGCAAGCACTACAAGATCCTTTTAGAGCCACACCCCAGCTTCGGGCATGAAGCCCGAGCGCTGGGGAAGCTCGAGAATGCCTCTTGCTGTGTATGTTGCTGTTGCTACTACTACACTTGTCGTTACACTCCTTCCACAGTGTGTTGTAATGCATTCTCATCCACAGTGTTGAATTGTGTTCTCATCCACAGCGTTGTATTGTGTTCTCATCTACAGTGTGTTGTAATGTATTCTCATCCAGTGTTCTAATGTATTTTAATCCGCAGTGTTGTATTGTATTGTCAGTCACAGCGTTGTACTGTGTTCTCATCCACAGTGTGTTGTAATGTATTCTCATCCACAATGTTGTAATATATTTTCATCCACAGTGTTGTTCTGTACTGTCATCCACATAGTTGTATTTTGTTCTGATCCACAGTGTGTTGTAATGTATTCTCATCCACAGTGTTGTAATGTTTGGACACTACAGCGCATGCACCGTACCATTTAATTATTATCACTGTATTAATTCACCAATTTCAGTATGAAATTCACTAACTAAGTTACTTGGTTTAGCTACATTCTTACCTCGTAAAGATATTTTCTAATATTAAACTTCAGTTCTTCATATTTATCGAAGTCGAAGGTTACTATCTGAAAGAAAATACTGTTTTTATATATCAGAAAAAGAAAAAGCAAGAATAATTATAATCACTGTTTACATTTGTATACCATGTTAGTGAAGAGTGCTTGAGATAGGACCAGATATAAATTTCAGTATGAAACGACTGGGTTATGCGAATTAAATAAAGAACCGAATATAGATCAACAAGAGCAAATAGCGTTGAAATTATACATGATTGGATTGTCTAAGTGGTACAAGTCGCACCTTCTCAGTACACCCGTCCTCCATAAACGATGGGTGGTTACTGACGAAGATTTCTTCTTGAGTGAGGCAGAGAACTGCATGTTTCCGTTCCCCGGCCTTCCATAGGATGTCACTGAGGGCTCCCACCAGTGAATCGATCTGTGCCTTCCTTGTCGTCCGCAAAAGCCTGCATAAGACAAGGCCTCTTCAGTATGTATTACATTAGGATTTCCTGTATAACCATGTTTGATGTTCTCGTAATTCTGTACATCATGTAATATTGCACTAATTTTAATTACTGAATGAACAATTTTTTTTATTCAGCAAACCAATAAACTAATCAATCTATTAACCTTCTCTCTAATTTAATCTATTATAATTTGGAGTGCTGCATAACCCACACGGATTTAAAGCATATAATTATTATTATTATTATTATTATTATTATTATTATTATTATTATTATTATTATTATTATTATAGTTTGGCATTCTGAGATCAAAACTCTTTACATAATATAAATCATAATTATAGTCTTTTTTTACGTCATCTGTCATAATTTACTCTTCAAAACAATGGTTTCCCACTAAGCTTTTTTTTCTGCGTCCTAGTTAAGAATTCTCATCATAACTACGCTACAAATTTTCCCCTAAGGTGTTATCGGTTATCTGTTTGTAAATGAGCAAAACAGTATCAAGGGGGCAGGAGATATGTTCCCGCTACAAAATTACACTAAAAACATAAATTACTGGCATTTGTTTACCCCAAACAATAGTTCCTGTACATCTTCCCCGTGCTACCTATGGTGTGGCGAAGAGGTGGTAAACCCGGACTATCAAATAAACAACAGTATAATCATTCGTGATCAACAGTTTTAAAGGATTCTTCAGAGGTATATCTTACATAGAGGTACAGAATTCAGTCTGTGTGATTTATGTAATGTAGAGAATAATGAGATTTATGAGTCAAAGAAATCTGTGATGTGATGAGCTTTAATATTTAAGAAGAGAGACATGACAGAGGCAGGAACGTGAAGAACATTATTCTTGAATTTGAAGATGCGTCACAGACTCGGTTATATTGGCCTGTGGGAGTTTCCTGTACAAGCAAAACCTGACCTCACCCTGACAAGGCAAGCTACAGACGTATGCACAAATCTTACTTTAGTATTCAATCGAACAATTTATTTAGGGGTTTTCTACATCTCATGGTTTGTGAGAACTGAAATACTTTTTAGCCATTCGTCTAGGGATTTTTTCCTCTGCTTATGGTCGGTGAGAGTTGAAGAGATGTTTCATCAACCTACCTGGTAGCACCCTCCACTTTCCTGGAGTGTGAAAGGTGAATACTAGGTTACTTGTGGACGTTTAGCAATTTTCTTATTTTGAGTGAGTAGAAGAGGAGTTTCAAGGACTCACCTGAGAACGTCTCCCACCGCTCCTGCTTTGTAAGAGCTGAAGAGAAGGTGTTTGAGCACGTATGCCTGGATGCAGATTATTAGGCCCTTGGTGCTGGAGTTGGGAGCCTTGAGGCCGTAGGCTAGGGCGGTTTCCGCGTCGTGAAAGGAAAATGGCTGACCCAGCCACTCATTCAGCGAGAAAGTTATCAAGTCAGCAGACCCGAAAATCTTTGTCCGCAGTTCCTGTTGGAAAGGATTCGTATGACTAAGTTCCTACGGTTTCCAGACGTTCATAGTTACTGAAATTGCTCAATAGAACATTGCTTCACCTACAGTGCATGAGATGCAACTACACAAGGGAGGTGCATATAATTAATGAACCGCAGCTAGAGGCATCGGAAACGCTTCAACTACATTTAAACGATAAATAAAGCACTCACTACACACACTAATACCTACCTCTACACGGAGGCCCTACTACAAAAGACAGAGCACACTGAAACCGCAGAACAAGAACCAGATATATTCTAAAACGTTAAGAAATTGACGTGTCTTGACATGCTGTCTGTTCGCTACTTTACAAGCTTTCAACTCCTACAGTAAATTCGTCAGTTTATTACGAACTCTACTGTGTGGGCGAAACGTCGTCAGTAAAGGTTCAGAAAAACTGTATTCGTATGTGTCTACCATCATGTAAGCATCTCTTACCATAACCTACTCAGGAATACATATGCATCAGTTAAGCACATCTACAATAACTAGAATGCGCCTACATCAATTTACAAATATATTTACAACACTCAGAATGCACCTGCAACATTTAGAGTGCGCTACAACCAATAACCATCCATCAACAACTAGATTACATCTACAGCTACAGGGCAATTACATCAAATACCATCAACAAACACCACCTGCACCAAACACCACCTGCACCAAACACCACCTGCGCCAAACACCACCTGCACCAAACACCGCCTGCACCAAACACCACCTGAATAACCTCACAACACCACCTGCACCAAACACCACCTGCCCAACACCACTGCCCAAACACCACCTGCACCAAACACCACCTGCACCAAACCACTGCACCAAATACCACCTGCCCAAACACCACCTGCACAAAACCACTGCACAAAACCACCTGCAACAAACACCACCTGCACCAAACACCCCTGCACCAAACCACCTGCACCAAACACCACCTGCAACAAACACCACCTGCACCAAACACCACCTGCACCAAACACCACCTGCACGAAACACCACCTGCACCAAACACCACCTGCACCAACACATCACAACACCACCTGCAACTAACACACTAGCAACAAAACTGCACTAAACGCACTGCCACCCCCTGAACAACACCTGCAAACAAACACAGGTGGCCCCACCACCTGAACAAACACACTGCACCAATACACCCTGCGTACCCCCACCTCAGAACACACTGAGACAACACCTGCTGACGACTAAGACAACACTGAAGTTACAAGGGGTGGCTGCCGCCCAGACAACACTGAAGACAATCACTGGGGTGGCCCCCCCGGACAACGCTGATGATTATCACTGGGGTGGCCTCCCCCTAGACAGCACTGAGGACTATCGCTGGGGTGGCCGCCACCTAAACAACACTGAAGACTATCACTGGGGTGGCTGCCCCCCAGACAACACTGAAGACTATCACTGGGGTGGCCGCCCCCAGACAACACTGAAGACTATCACTGGGGTGGCCGCCCCTAGACAGCACTGACGACTATCACTGGGGTGGCCGTCCCCCAGACAACACTGAGGACTATCATAGGGGTTGACGCCCCCTAGACAAAAGTTAGAGTAGTCGGTGAGTTGAAGTAGAAGTGATGAAGCAGGAAGCTTAAGAGACAGCAGTGATAGTAACAAGGACCTCAGTATAAGTAAGAGAAATGAAAATAATCAAGAATAGTAATAAATACAACAGAAGCAGCAGGATGAAATCTACAAAAGAATCAGCAAGTGGAAGATGAGGCAACAGGAGCAGCAGTAACAGTAACAGGAAGAACAGCAGCATAATGCCAAGAACAGAAGCAGAAGCAATAGCAGCAGCATATACAAAATAAGAGGAAAACAACAGCAGCGGAAACAGCAATAACTGCAGCATAATGCCAAGAACAGAAGAAGAAGCAATAGAGGCAGCATATATAAAATCGGAGGAAAACAGCATTAGGAGCAACATCAGCAGCAGTAGTGGAAAACGTGAAGAGAAACTTACAATGGCTGTGTCAGGGGTGATAGGCTCCCCGCCTACCACTGACACTTGTTTGATAACAGTCTTCCGGCTGCTGGGGTACAGCACGTGCTCTGTGAGGGTAGTGGAGTTAGCTCATTACGGGCAAGGAGAAACAGATCATACAGATTAGGACAGTCAGATCATTACCGGTTAGGAGAGTCGTTTTATTAACTGCTACAGTAGACTACGATTAGTCACGGCAGGGTTGATAATATAAAATCGTAAGATATTATAAGTGGGCATGAAATGCACAGTCAAGAGGGAGGTAATGTGGTTTAACGTAGAGAAGCATAAGAAGAACACACAGAGGCAGGGCAGTGTAATATAGTATAGATCAGAACTGGGTAAAGAGATGGCACAGGTCAAGTTATTGATTGTGGGTCAAGTCAGGGGAGGAAGGGGAAACACGGGGTGTAACACTTCCTCAACTTAGTAAGTGATCTAGGTAACTTTCAGTTAAAATTTGAAGAAGGTACTACTCGCTCACAGTTAAGTGGCCTCTATCTTTTAACATACTGTAAATCTTTAAACAACGAAGCATCACAGGAGAGAATTCCCTTACACACACACATTAACACGAACTTCTCAACTGAAGCGGTCAAGGTTGCAGCAATAACAGTGATAGCATTTGAAACAACAGAGAAAGAGAAATAAGTGGTGAAAGGAGAATGAAGAAAAGAAGTGGAGAGGGAGAATAGGAAAAGGAAGAAAATAAAGAAAATTAATGGAAGATTACTGAAATTTAAAGATCTCTATTTCCTGTGCATGTGAATCCTCTTTCCTGGTGCTGTGTACTGAAAAATAAATAACATACGTCATATACAGTGTAGTGAAGAATAATTTGAGGAACCTGAAGTTACCTGATGACCAAACGTACTGTCTAGCTGTGGTTATTCAAAGGGAATGTATGAGTGTTGTGTGTACTCACCTAGTTGTTGTTGCAGGGGTCGATTCACAGGTCCTGGTCCCGCCTCTACACTGGTCACTACTAGGTGTGTGTATGTGTGTGTTGTGCGCGCTTTTGTTTTCGTGCTTATTCTATGTGTGTTTATACATTCTTGTGTACAGGAGCTCTGATGTCCACTAACAATAATAAAAAAAAAAAGAGAAAAAATCCGGTTGGTCTCCCTCCATAACGACATAAAACAAGACAAAATAATTACGAATAAAATACAAGCAACAACAGAAAATAATCGAGAAAGAGAATTAACACCTTAATTGTTATTGCCTTGCAAATATTACACGGCTGGTGCAATTGCAAAACATGTTGACTTAAGTCGCGGAATGCAAACGTAATCTTGCAATCAACAACAATGGGACCATGTTTACATAGCTACGATGTCTGATTGAGCAGACGAACTGACCTCAGACTCTGCTCCTCTCACGTAATTAGGAGAGAGGTAAAATAGTCCTTGTGTTCCTGTGTGTTGAGGTTCATTTCAGTTCGGATATTACTTTTTGTTTGTTAAGAGGGAACTGCGACAGTCTGTGGAAAGTTTAGGAGATTAATTAGGAGGTAGGAGGAGCTGGAGACGGCGAGAGAAGTAGGGACGGAGGATCAGGAGGTGCAGCAGCAGCAAAAGCAAAACGAGAGATAAAAAAAAAAAAGGGAATATGGAAAAAAATTGAAGAAGAAATTAGGGGTTAAAGGCGAGAGACGGGGAGAATAAGAAACGTACACGAGAAAGAACTGAAAAAGGAGAGAAAATGAAAGAAAAAAAGCCTACAACGGACAAGCATTCATCAATGAAGGAAAATCACAAAATAAAATAATGTAAAGGAAAATGAAGGCAAAATGCAAGAATGAAACAAAAACGAATAGGAAGGGAGAGTGAAGAAAGAATAAGAGAGAAATAAAAGAGAGAGAGAGAGATTAGGAAAAGGGTGATAAGGAGCACGATAAGGCTACCTTCCAGGCTCTTTCCTGTTCTCAGAACAAGGAAAGGTCTCATTATTTACAGTGATGAGTGCGTGTGTAGCGACACAATCTTCCAGAAACAGCCTCAAATGCTCAAGCTACATCCTTGAATGTTTACCTGAAATTCTTCATAGTTTTCACATTTCACCGCTAAAATATCAATTAATCTCGAGGAACTTGACTTCTATGGTCGAGCATTTTTATTGACAGAGGCGCTTATTAATAATCGTAATCTTGTACATTATTACTTCTGAAATAAATACGTGGTTATTATTATCATTGCTTCTATTTAGAATTAATAAATGCAGTTGCTATCGTTCCTACTACAACAATGTTAAATAAAATGCAAATAAAGTCCACTAACTATAGAAGCAATATTAGTTAGTTAAGGTTCGATCGCATGAAGATAATTAATAGAACCATCACTGGTGCAGTAAATAAATATAATCTGAATATTGTAATAGAGATGGAAAACAATTTCCAACTAATAAAACGAACGAGATATTATTTACATGATTGCTCATTTTTGCTTTAGAGAAGTAAAGCGATTTGTTTATTCACAATTTGAAAAATACACAGTTTCTGTATGCTACCGCTTTGACGAAGTTATTATATTACAGATATCATAATCACAAATCAGGTAGAATCTATTAGAAGTAATTTATCAGCATTCCACAAATCATATCTATAATTCATCTCAAGCCAAAGATTCAAGTCACGGTAATTCAGACGAAGTGGGAAATATTCCAAGTATTTATTCGATAAGTGAACCAGGGTTCTGCTTCAGGGATAAGTGAACCAGGGTTCTGCTTCAGGGATAAGTGAACCAGGGTTCTGCTTCAGGGATAAGTGAACCAGGGTTCTGCTTCAGGGATAAGTGAACCAGGGTTCTGCTTCAGGGATAAGTGAACCAGGATTCTGCTTCAGGGATAA